AAAGTTTGCATTGTTGTCAGGCCCTGCCCTGCCCCATCCCCTGCCCCGCCCCCCAGCCATGTTGTCCAGCTTTACAAATGTTAAAATCTGGTCACCCTACTTTATATACACACAAGGCATCTTTGCCCTGTGCTCTGGCTTCTGCTCTGAATCATCCGTACTTTGAGCACTGACTTCTCTGTAACTGTGAGCATACATTTGGCTTTTTTTTTTTTTTGTAGAGACAAAATCTAACTCTATCACCCTCAGTAGAGTGCCATGGAATCACACAGCTCACAGCAACCTCTAACTCCTGGACGATTGTCTTGCCTCAGCCTCCCAAGTAGCTGGGACTACAGGTGCCCGCCACAACGCCAGGCTATTTTTTTGTTGCAGTTTGGCCAGGGTCGGATTTGAACCCGCCACCCTTGGTATATAGGGCTCGTGCCCTACCCACTGAACCACAGGTGCTACCCTGTTTTGTTTTGTTTTTTAATTGAGACAGAGTTTCATTCTGTTGCTCAGGCTAGAACGCCATGGCATCAGTCTAGCTCATAGCAACCTCAAACTGAAAGATGGATCACCTGGCTCAAGTGATCCTCCTGAGTAGCTGAGATGATAGGCACCCACATTTTTCTATTTTTAGTAAAGATGGGGGTCTTACTCTTGCTCAATTGGTCTCAAACTCCTGAGTGCAAGTGATCCTCTGGCCTTGGTCTTCCTGAGTAATAAGATTACAGATGTAAGGGTGGCACCCATGGCTCTGTGGGCAAAGTGCTGGCCATATACACAGAGGCTGGTGGGTTCAAATCCAGCCTAGGCCAGCTAATAAAAACAACAATGACAACTGCAACAACAACAAAAAAAATAGATGAGTGGCATGCCCCTATAGTCCCAGCTACTTGGGAAGCTGTGGCAAGAGAATCACTTAAGCCCAAGAGTTTGAGGTTGCTGTGAGCTGTGACACCACAGCACTTTACCTAGCTTGAAATTCTGTCTCCAAAAAAAAAAAATTACAGATGTAAGCCATCATACTCACACAGTGA